GTGCTTCGTTTTCTGCGTTACTTTGTTCGATTCACTAGTCGATATGGCAGCAGTGCTATCCTCAAACAACACCGTAGCCTCCGTCTGCTCTCGATTGATGGTCTTGAGAAGATGACGCCAGTGTAGGATCATTTTGCACGCCTTGGACATTGCGACGTATTCTGCCTCAGCCGACGACGTGGCAGTGACCGTCTGCTTTACACTTGTCGTGTCCACCGGGCCACCTGCGAGGGTAAGAACGACCCCAGTAGTCGATTTTCGATCGTCAAGATCGCCTGCGAAGTCAGAGTCGACGTAAGCGGTTAGTTTATCTCCGCCTTGCGCGTCCTTGCGGTAGGTGATGCCCGAAGAGGTCGTCCCCTTCAGGTAGCGTATGAGTCGCGTACGTCGCGGTCGCTGCGGCGTCGGCATCCTCCGCCACCGTGGGAGCCTTCTCCGCTCCAGACATGACCCGACCTAGGTCTGCCTCGTACATCAGCGCACGGAAAAGCGAGACCCAACCGACAAACTGGCCGGGTTCTCCGCTGAACGCGACGTATCCGCGCTGCAGATGATTTGACGACTGCTGTTGCGCTGATGACGCCATTTGACTCGAGATGATTCCCTACCTCGCTATACGTGGCTCAAAACCTGTTGGGCGGTACCACAGCTGTAGTACGCTGGTTGGCGTATGTGGTAGAGGCTTGGTAGAGAAAACAAAAAGAGTGATTTATTATCCACANCTGTCTGCACCTGACAGTTACAGTAAAATAGAACGCCTTCAAAATACCGTATCAAACACATACAGCAGAATAGAGTCGGTCTTGCACAGCAAACACCCCAACAAGCACCACGGGCCAGAGAGAAGGACGTACACCCCCTTGGTTCAGTCATCTTGGTACACTTCACAACGCAAGCAGAGACAAGACCATCTGACACAGAAAAAGAGAGGGAAAAGGGAGAAAAAGAAAGAAAAAAGGGAGGAAAAGAGAAAGAGACAAGCAGAAAGGCACGAAAAAAGAAAACGAAAAAAAAGCGAAGACAAAAAGGGACCAGGCCGAGAACAACAGTAGTCTAAGGCATACGGTGGAAAGAGCTATAACGAACAAGCAAACACGCCAACATGGCCACCAACCGGGGATACATTGTAATGGTACGTCATCACTAGTGGGGGTTTGGTGCAATGGTGCAGCGTTTGGGGGGAGGATTGGCCAATAGAAATTCAATCCGGCACGCATCGCGCCACTCGGTCGGTCCGTCTATGCTCGTTTGCTTTCTTCCCTCGCCGTCTCGTCCGTCCCCTGCCCCCCTCCCGCCCCATTGGCTGTTGGCTTGTGGTCTCGTTTAAGCGCTCGTTGTCGCCTGACCTCTTCTTCTTCCTTCTCGTGCCAGGAGGTCATGAACCTCTCAACTCCCTCCAGCACCGCTGCATGCTAGGGTACTCCCCCTCCACCTTCGCTGCTTCCGTCCACTTTAACTTCGGTGCCGTGTCTTTCGGTACCGGGATTTCGAGACAACATGGATATAAGCACAGCAGTGTAAGGATGTGTTGTCGTTTTCTTCCACATCGACATTCTAGATAGGGCGGGGTAATTAGCCGCGGGGTAGGGACTCAATATCTTGCAGTAGTCCTACAGTTTTACAGCAGCGTGAATCGTTTGTGGTGCAGCAACGTGTGCACCAGAGGGACAGGGGTGCGACGGGCGCGACGATGGTTGTATATGTGCGGCCCCCGTTCAAAACTTAGTGTTGCACACACCCACGAAAACTCGGCCTAGATTGCAATTTGGTGCCTTGATGGTGAAATGGGCTCAGTCTGCTGGCATATTTATTAGTTAGGCACCTCGGACGGACGCGGACAGACATGAGTGGCGTCTTCAATCCCCCCCCTCATGGTCATTTTTTTCTTTTCGAGCATAGTCTATACATCATGCACACGATCCCTTTCAACAAGGAAGCCGTTGATGGTCATGGCTTTGATGCGAGGGACCCCCAGCAGCAGCAACAGCACGCAGAGCGCAGGGCTTTTGCGAAGGCAGTCAGTAGCGCCGCGCAAGTACGCAACCTGAACCGATCCCGCCGGGAACCATCCCGATAACGCACAGCAGTAGACGTTCACGCCCTCGACGATTTTCTCTCAATGGTACATATGTATAGTCTGGAAGAAGGTGACCGAACCAGTGTGATGAAGAGCGCGCTATCTTTCTTCTTGCTCAAGAGCGAACACATCGTCAATCGGTGGCCGGTAGATATCGTTGTGGTCCCAAAGGTGTTTTTTTACGGCTACCCGGAAACCAAGTTTGTTTGGGGCCCCTGCTACCCGCGGCGGAATAGGCCGAGATATATCGAGCCTTCTTTTTCCTCCTGGGGATGAAGGGAAAAACTGTCGCGCGTCGCGCTCCGCGCCTCATTAAAAACCGTATCTTCATCTGTCTGTCCGTACTGATCAAACGCTTCACCGAGCGATTCCGTGGTCAGAGACAACCTTTGTTGAGGCAGTCGGCGCGTGTGCTGTGTTATCACGCTGCTCGTGGGCTTTTGTCGATAGCGTTTCTGCACAAAGGATTGACTCAAGCTAACGACTGAAAGATATGGGCAGGCAAGCAGAGCCTCGTGATTCAAGTCCGTCACACCCATCACATTAAATATGTGCGTATCCCCCTCGGAGATCTCGGAGATATGTAGCCTGTCGAGTACATACAGAATACACACAGCTACATGGTGCGAGATACGATCTACGGAACCCTTTGTACATTCGCCAGGCAAAACGGCAACAAATAATAAACAAACGTTCATATACGCAAATCATCTCAACTCCCGAATCTATTGAATACATTCGAATT